AAAACTCTGATTCAGGACCAGAGACTGAATTTGCACCACCTTTGCTTATACCACGCTCCTCCTCCTTCTCTGGGCCTAGTGATAGCGGCCTTCTGAGAGTTCCTCCAAGATGTCGCGCTCCTTCTTGGCACAGGACCTTTGGACATCATGGACGCACCTCTCCACACCTCTTTGCCCAGTTGACTCATATCTCTTCTCTTTCATAATTCAACAGTCAGCTCCTCAGCAAAGCCTCTTTTATCCTCTAGTCTAAAAATGCATCGTAGAATTATAGTCCCTTCCTTCACAGAACTTATTTCAGTTCACAACTGCATAGCCATTAGTGTGATTGTTTGATAAGTATCATTCTGAAGGCATGACATTTATTTCTTTTCACTTTTGTATCCTCAGGCATAGTGTAGTGCCTGGTACAGAAATAGATGGGCTGTGCCTGTACTTTAACTTGATGTGGATCTATTTAATAAGGGCCTATGTTGGACTAGGTAAGAACCCAGGTCAAATCATTCTTAGTCCCAAGAAAAAGAGATCCTCAGGATGCAATAGTTTTCATGAAGCAGTAACATTTTAAGAGAAATTTCCATGTATTGAAAAGTAGGGCTTCCTCTTGCTCAAGAAATTTACTGAGAAATGGGTTATTGTGGACCTGAGGCATTAAGAGCAAAGTTCATCCACTTTGAGCCAGGGCTTGTTATATAAGACAGGCCATAGATGAAAGGAGAGAGTGATGACCAGAAGCCATAGATTTAGGAATGCCTTGCTCTGATCCAGTTTTTAACATAAGGTGCTGGACCTCGGAAGTCCTGCAAATACCAGGTAACTAGGGCATAAGAAGAAATCATGTAAAGATTACCCAAGTGTAGAGCCAAAGGAGGACTTTAGAATTGGGAAGATGAGTCAGAAAATGAATTCAACAGGATGGACTCCTCCATTCTAACATGCACTTTTTCTAGTTTTCTTGTCCTTTCCGTAATAATCATGATTGTATTTGTCCCTCTGTATCGATCATTTACTTAATAAGGTCCTGTTCAAAAGTGCGCACACACATTTGTATGTGTAATTATCACAACCACTTTTGATAAGATAAAGAAACAGAGAAATAGGGATTTGAAAAAATTCAGAAATAGGCAGAAAGTGGTAAAGTGGGGAAAGAACTCTATGCTCACTGAATTTCAAAGCCTGAGTTCTCAGCTGTGATTCCAATATTACACTAAATGCCATGCCTGGAAGTCATGACTTCTTCCTAACTCTGTCTCCAAATTACTTGTCTTGTTATTGAGTTGATACTCTTCATACACTTACTTTGAAATTTAAATTGATTTTATAGTTACAGTATCTGTGAACTCCTTGCATTGATATGAGAATTGTGCTTTCTAACACACATTATTGGAAAAATGTAAGTATGAAGACAAAGACGTTCATGTATTGCTTAGAAGCCTCTTGCTTCCCGCCCTGGTGGCACCCACACCCTGCTTTAGGTGACTCACATTATTTGACCCCAAACCACGTTTCTTCTGTGTCCTTGGTGGAAAAGAGGCATAAGATAAATAGGTGCTAACCAACTTATAATTTAAGACATGTCTCGTGGTTGATATTTTTCTGAGGCTGTTTTGGAAAATGGCTTCCTTCTACCCCAGGGTGGCTCCACTTCAGGGGTGAGAAGCAAAGGGTCTCGGTTTGTACAGTCTTAATGCTTAGGGCAATCTGGTTGAGAAGAACTATATAGATATCACTTATCATCACCCTCATGATGACAATGATTATTTTACATATGGCCGCTTTAAGGGTGAATGGTGCCGTCTCATTTGTATGCCAGCATCTGGCAAGCTGTCACACATCTGCAGAATATAGCCTAAACTGCACTATTAATATATCCCCTTTGTATTCTCCCCAAGGCATCTGTCTTCTAAAATGTCTAAAGAACCTCCCCCGACACCCGAAGGCCTGGAGGCAAAATTCAGAAAACATGCCACCTAGGCTGGGAGAGCAGAAGTTTGGAGTGACAGCCAGCTGAGCTGGAGCAGATTTCTGGCTCTTGGAATAGATAAAAAGAGGGAAGGGAAACCACCACCCACACTCATTCTATTAGCAGCTGCACTCCCTGGCAAAATCTTTGGGCAGGTTTCCCCAGGCCCAGACAGTATGCCGTGTCTGTTCTGTGCTCAACAAAAGATGCCAGTCATGGTCCTGATGGTCAGTTCTCAGTGTCTCCAAATATATCTCAGAACTGCTAGTATCTGATTAAAAATTCCTTCCCTCAAAGGCCTTTGGGGCCGACTGTGCACTGTCTGAGGTAGAGATGAGGTGACTGGGTACTAAAATCAGGACTTTTTTTCCTTGGGCACAGAGAATACATTTCCCAGTTTATCTTTCAATTAGAGGTGGCCATGTGGCCAAGTTCTAGCCAATGGAATGTGTTATGGTTGATACATTGTGTCAACTTGGGGAGTCTAGAGGTTTGGCTAAGTGACTCAGCAGGAAGCCAGGGTGCTTACTTTGTATACATCCTGAGCCTGTGGAAGAGGAGGGTATGGAGATTATGTGAGAGCTACATGCCCCTTAGGTGGGGGTAGCCTGTTTACAAAGTAAGGCAGGGAAAGAAGCTGCTTGCCGCCATTCCTCCCTTTTGTTCTGGCTGTTTGCCGTTCGGCTGCCATTCCCTCTTGCTCTTGTTGCTTTGCTGTCTTCTGCCTTGGAGCCAGCCAAGTATGGACTGAAACCTCCACAAACTGTAAGCTAAATAAACCTTTCCTTCCTTCACTTTGGGCGCTGGGTATTTTGTCTCAGCAATGAGAGAAAAGTAACCAAGACAGAATGCAAGCTATTTTAGGACCTACTTCCCAGAATTCTTTCACATGTGATCCTCTATGACCTCTCCTTTCTCCTGTCCTGCTACAGACAAGCTTGGTGACACTGGTGAGCTACAAGGATAGAAGAGACTTCGGCTCTAAGTTATCATTGCCTGTTGATGGAGATCATCAATATTGGATTTTACAGGAGAAATAACTTTTTAAGAGTTTGATCCACTATGAAATCTATTGTATATCAAAATATTCAGAGCTTTACTAGAACTCATGAGGTTCAATTTCCAGGTTGGATTTCATAATCAACTATCTATGGGATATCTTCATTCTGATGCTATTTGAAGTATTACTACTTCAAACCCAACATATAGCCAGGCGTGGTGGTGCATACCTGTAATCCCAGTATGGGGGAGGATAAGGCAGGAGGATTGCTGGGAGTTTGAGGCCAGCTGGAGCTATAAAGTGAGTTCAAGGACTGCCTGAACTGCAGAGTGAAACCCTGTCTCAAAAAGACAAAAACAAAACAACAAAAAACCCCTAACAACAAAAAACCAAACCAAACCAAACAAAAAACCCAACATATGCAACCAGGTTTCTATATGCCAAGTGTTCCCCATGATGGAATGCAGCAGTGCATCACAGTCTCTGCTTTCGAAGCATTTATATCCTCAGATGGGGAAATTAAAACTATGCAAATAAAAATGATTTCAAATAGCGATAAATACTATGAAGATAACAGAATAGCTGGGAGTTGGTGGGAGAAAGTGCCCTGTAGAGAATGACATTAGCTGCAGTCTAAACCACATGGAGCCAGCCTTGTGAACTCTGGGGGTGCGGTATCCCAGGGAGAGGGAGAAGCAGATACAAAGGATGGAAGAGCAAGGTTTAAGCAGGAACAGAAAATAATTACGGTAGTTGACTAAAGCAGAGTGAATTAGAGAAGAGTGATATGATGGGGAACCAAAGAGGGAGTTGGGGACCAGATGGTGTGGGATCACACAGGCCAGGATAAAAGACTTGGGTTTGAAGTTCAGCAGGAGGCTCCTCTAGTGATTTTAGCAGGAGAGAATGATGCCTGATTACATGTTGGAAGGTTTGCTCTGACTGATATGTGGGGCATGCCCTGGATGGGACAGCAAGAGACGAGAAAGGTGAGAGCTAATTGTGGTTTACAGTAGCACAGGCCGGTAGGACTGGGGATGAACGATCTGAGATATATTTAGCGCAAGTGTTGACAGGGCTCCTAGACAGATTGGGCTGGGTGTGGAGGAACCTGGTGAGCGAAAGAGAAGAATTAATGCTGACTTGCAGGCCAGTCACTCAGCTGCTTGAGTGGAAAGCTGGGAAGTGGGTTGTGATTGTGAGTGAAGAATTACAGTTCTGAAGGGACAAAGCACATGCTAGGTACTCAGTACTGCAGGGTCAATACAGTAGGATGAGAACGCTGCCACGGACAGAATTTTCTTGACCTCTCTAAATCTTAGTTAAATGGGAGACAATAATGCTTACATTACAAGTTGCTATGTCACATGTACTCTTGAGGGGTAGAAATAACAAAAAAGGAGATAGAATGAAAGCTTGAGGACTGCAGGCTTTTGGGATATGGGTATTGGTTACAGGAGTGTTTTGGCTGTGAAACTCATCAAACTGTATAATTATGATGTGTACACTTTCCTGCGCGAATCATATCATACACTTCACTAGAGGGGTAAAAATGATTTCATAGCTCAAAGCCGCTAGTGCAAGTGCTCGGAACTCAATGCACGACAGTCCCTATTGTTTTACTGTAACACGACGAATACCGTCTGGTTGACTGTGGTCCATGCTGTACACAGACCATTTGTGAATCCTATAACAGAGGCAGGAGACCTAAGTGGACTCTAGGATCTTAGCTTTTTGTTGGTCAGGCCATATGAAAATTTAATTCATGATACATAAATGCCATGGCAAGAAATTATTGTTCTAGAACCCCAATCCAGAACCAGTCCTGGGCCACTGTTTCTAATTCAATGTTTTCCTAACTTTATTAGGATGAGGGAATCTCATAGATGCCAATGCATTTTAAAAGGGACACGTTCTCTACAAGTACTAGGTGTGTAGTTGCGAGCACTTTTTCTATTCCACGTTTCCCCAGGGCCTGCTCATACCTAAATACTCTTGACTGATGCCAACTGATGATTGGCTGCAGGGAAAGGATACTAAAACTTTGATTGGTTATTTCAAAGTTCCATAGGTTAATCCTCAGGTCATCAGCAGACATGTAGGTTTCGTAGTCGCTGTTGACTGATATGGAGTTGATATGATACGTGTGTGCGTTGGCAAACACTCTCCGTGGGGTGGCCTCCACCATCAGGTCCATGGGTCTCAGGACGGGCACCTGGGGTGTAGGAGAGACAAATAACTCAGCACCAAAGCTCTTGCCTAGGGACAGAGTGTGCATTTACATCCACTATTACCACATGCAAAATCAGTGTCACAGTAAAGAGCTTGAAGTCAGAGAAACCACACGCTGCTCCTGTTCCCCAGGGGCCCGAGGCCTTTCCTAAAAGTGTCACCATCACCTGGCCCTGACTGGAAATTTCATTTTTGATAAATTCAAGACTTTTTTTCTAAGACCCATTTTGGGGTGATTTGGATCGCACTGTGTGGACACTGCCTTCCAGGACTTTGGTCTCATTTAAAAAAAAACCCCATAAAATCTGTTTTAAAAAGAAAATTTTGGGAAAATTTCAGAGCTATCTCACTCAATTTTAACCCCAATTTATCTCTCTTGTCTTTTCACCTCATGGCTTTAAGAAGGCTACTTCCCCTTGTGGATTATTCTTGGCCTTTAAGAGTATTTTATACAAATGGCAAATAAATGCATGAAAAAATGTTCAAAAGCATTGGTCATTCAAGGAATGTAAATTAAAACAACACTGAGATTCCATCTCACCGCAGAAAGAATGGCTATCTTCAAGAAATCAACCAATATCAAATGCTTGTGGGGCTGCATGGAAAAAGCGAACCTTTCTCCACTGTTGGTGGGAGTGTAGACTGGTGCAGCCACTGTGGAAATCAGCCTGGAGATTCCTCATTAAACTAGGATTAGAAGTCCCATTCAACCCAGCTGTTCCCCTTCTGGGTATTTTTCCAAAAGAATTCAGGACATCATACCACAGTGATATATGTGCACCCATGTTTATAGCAGCACAATTTGTCATAGCTAAATCTTGGAAACAACCTAAATGGTCATCAACAGAGGAACAGATAAAATAGATGTGATATTTTTATACAATGGAATATCACTCAGCTATAAAGAAGGATAAATTTGAGACTTTTATAGGTAAATGGACGCAACTAGAGACCATACTCATAAGTGAAATAAATCAGACCTGCATGTGTAAACATCATGTTGTCTCTCTCGTGTAAGAACCTGAAAGAGTAAATAAAATCTGAAAGGTACAATAGACAGAGTGAAAGGGAAAGAAACTGCTCAAAAGGAAAGAACAACTGGGATGGGGAAAAAAGATATGTATATAATCACAAGATAGCTAAGATAATTGTACTACAATTTCTATTGGTTAATTGAAAGGAACAGTGAATGCCTAATTGTTTGATCAATTTTGCATCCTATATCTTGTAATTTGAACAACTACTTTGAAGATAACAATATAACAATCACTGTTAATTTCCTATCATCGTGTTTTGAAGTTCTGTATCATTTTTATTGTTTTTAAAATTTTCTATTCTCTTCTTAAAAAAGAGTATTTTGGAAAGACATCACCACCCAAGACTCTAGCAGCCCAGGTCAGCCATCATAGATAGGGTGCTCATTACATCCTGGCTGGGCTGAGAAAATTAGTTTACATCTGCTGTCTTGAACTTCCAATGGGTAGTGTCCACTTTCCATTGAAAACTCCCAGTTTGGACAATAAATTATATGGTCACCCAAGGCATATGTTTATTGAATGACTAAAGTAAACACTAGTGTTTTATTCTGGCGGGTCAGAGAATCAGGCAGCTAAATAGCTTCCCACACATGAATCTCTCTCTGGAAAATATGAACAAAGGCACAGAACTCTTCTCCCTGTCTTTGAATTCTGGGTAAATTGGCTCCTAAGAAAGCGAGTGAGGAAAACAAACAAACAAAGCCATACGACACAGGTGCGGTCCTTGAATAGCAACAAGAAAATAACGAAAAGCTATTTTTTCTCCAAGCAAATCATCACTTGCAACTGAGCCCTGGCTGATTTGCTACCAGGTGGTACATTAAGACTTCAGCTTTTGGACTGGTTTCAACTCAGGTGGTGAAGGGGAGCAGCTGAAAACAAAGATTGAATTTTGTGAAGTGCAGTTGCCTCAACAACAAAGCCTTGCTGAAAACAGAGTCCCCCCTGCTCATCCTTGAGGGAGTGCAGCTCATATGTGAGTTTCTAAAGTAAATCAGTCAGGGGCCACAGCGTTCTAGAGAGATGTGATGCTGGGTCTCCTGGAAACCAGAGATGCCTTGTGTGCAGACACAGAAAGTCAGGGGTCCACCAAATGCCTGGAGAGGGAAGGGAGGGAAAATGTACGTGGTCACAGCCCCAGCTATGGGGAATGGCTCTGGAGCATACCCAGGGGTGGCAGGGCCTGGCAACCTTGGCTCTGAGCACAGATTTGTCACCAGCGGGCAGGCTACGAGTCCAGGGCAACCAACCTGCTCCTGCTGAGCTCTTGTCTCATTACTTGAAACACAGCCACTACTTGCTGCGCCCCCATGACTGTGAAGGGTGGTTGTGGGGATTTGTTGAGATGATTTGTTCTCTCATTCATGGTCCAGCCCCCTCTTGCAGGAATATTTGCTGAGGGCTGCACAAAGTCCCCGGAGACTCACCTAGTAAGCATGTGATAGAGGGCCTGCCCTCACAGGGCCGGTCTAGTCAGGGGAGACAGACTCAAAGTAAATCATCCCATAATGAAATGGGAGTAAATGACCCAAAGAGAGATTATAGTTTCCGGGAAGATTTAAAATTGGGCAGGAAAGTGAACAGTGGCATTCCTGAGAAGAATGGGTAGGGATAAGTAGGGGCTTACCCAGGCCAGATGGGGAAGGAAGAATGTCCCACATAGGGAAAGGGCATGCGGGAAATTCCATACAGGCACATGGCATGTGCAAAGGCCTCATGATGGGGGTGAGCAAGGCAAGAGGGAAGGACCAGGAGGTTAGTGTGGTTGAGATAGAGATGGTAATGGAAACCGTCATGGGGGGATAAAGGGTCAGGATAGACAGGATGCAAGCTGTAAGAAAGAGCTGTGGCATCATCCCCCACCCACCCATGGAAAGAAATGAAAGGATTTGTAGTGACTGTGATAGGATCAGGTGCGGGTTTGGGTCAGATGGGTCCACACAAGACTAGAGAACAAGCTAGAGGATAATGAGGAAGAACGTTAAAGGGAAGGTGTATACTGCTGAACACCAATTAAGGGATGGCTGAGTTAGGCTTTGTAGTGGATATAAAAGTAATTTTGCCTTTCGAATGCTGTCCTGAAATGTTTATTGGGCATATGCTGTGCTAGGCATTCTTCTCACATAATCTCAGATAATTCTTTAAACTACTCTAAAACAGGTCCCAGCACAAAGTCCAATTCCATAGAAAAAACTCAGGCACAGGGGGTCTAAGTCATGGACCCATGAAAGGCACAGGCAGGATTTGATCTCCGGACCCTCCCGAATACAAACTACCATTCTTTCTGCTGCTCCACACCACAGTATCACACAGGCTAGGCAATGTCGTGAATAAGCAGCCAGGCAAATTTATAAAATAAATGAGATGATAGCAATAATGACTGGTTGTCACGGTGGTGCTGTGGTTAAGAAACCTGAATTAGGTGTTGAAGTTCTCATAGTATTTGAACAGGGCTTCTGTTCTGTGTGCTTTCAGAAACATGTACCATGCTCTCTCAGTCTGTCACAGAGGTACTCCCTGCCTGGAGCTTTGCAGTGCTACCTGCTTCCTCCAGATCCCCACAGACACCAGAGCTCAGAGCAGGCTCCCCAGGGCCACAGAGGACGTGCACTCTGCAAGCTTCCTGTGGCTCCCAAATTCTCCCCTGGCCCCTTTCAGGACTGCGCAGTGTCTGCAGGGCTCTTCTGTGGCTGTGGAGATGTGGACTGGAGCATGACAGTGAGGATCAAGAGGCATTACAAAGTGGGATCTGGCAGCCCAGAGCTTCAGCTTAATGTGATGGGCCTGCCTGCTAATTCAGGCTGACATATTCCATGATGTACCGCGTAATGGGGAAGGGCTTTGTGCTGGTATCTGGGGATGGAGCCTCTACCGCTTTGCCCAAATGTGTGTGTGTGTGTGTGTGTTGGAGGATGAATGTTAACTTCATTCCTGTGCCCAGATCTGCTACCCTACGATTTCCCTCACAAGAAAAAAAAGCTAAGTTGGTGGTTCAAGGATAGCAGGTACAAATTAGGAAACCATGTTGCGACTGTGTTTCCCACCTTTTCTGGCTACTTCTGTTTTTGGAGCTAGAAAGACAGAAGTGTTGGCTACTATTCCCGAGTGAGGCCCATCTGCCAGCACTCCTCCAGGCCTCTGGGGCTGGGTGCGGCCGCTATGCTTAGAACCCTGTTCCTTGCCTCCCGCCAGCCCTGAGGCATGAGATCCAGCCCTCCTGGGAGCCAAGTTTACAGAAGCTTCTCTTTGCCCCACTTACCACAGAGGTGTAGGGATGTATTCGGAGAAAGGGGTTGAGGAGCTGGGGTCTGAACCCAGGCAATCCCGTTTCTGAGTGAGTGCACTTAGCCAATATTGGACATGAAATGATTAGGGGGAGATAGGAAACTGACATTTTTGCAAATCAAAAGTGGCCAAAGGTCAGTAGTTTCCTACAGCTGCGCCCAATACTTTGGAAGGATGCTGTGCTGTACACATGTGACACGGAGTCAGGGAACAGCAGGCGCGGACAGCCTCAGAGCCTCTTCCCAGGCTGCCCCACCGTCACCATCTGCGTGTGTTTGGGGAGACAGCGGGAGGCTGTAGTGTCTGGATCTCACCGCTTCATTAGTCTTGGTGATAATCAAGGTGATCAAGACCTACAGTGACTGTTTAAATAAGAAACGTATCACAGTGAAGGACACACTGCCGTCAGCCTCCTGCCAAATACTCCCCTTACTTTGAACACACTTGTCCCGTCATTCTTGGTGAGGTGTCTTTCAGTGTCACATGTTAAAAATTTAAATATTCACTGTATTGGCTTGGATTTGCAGTAAAATTTTGCCTAAAGAATTGTTCCTGTGATAAGTAAAGCCTGAGAACAAGCAACCTGCAGCAGCCCCTGAATTATACAGGTGAGGACACCAAGACCCTAGAGGCAAAGTCCCTTGTCCATTGTCACCTGCAG